GTTAAGTGAGGACTACCGGTAATGTGATTGACAATATAGTCTGGATGAAGGGCCCCTCCAGCTGGAAGGCAAGAGCTGAGGATCTTTTGCAGTACTAATGGCTTTATGCCAGTTGCTAAGTATCAACCATTTTACAAAAGAATTTTGGCATTTTGCAGAAAAATCTTATGAACACATACTTCTGCTTTAGTAGAAAAAACAATAATACCTCATATTTGTTTTCTCCTCATTCTCTATCCAACAAATGTCTACATATTCTCTGAAATCTCCTGAATCCACTTTGCCACATGTAATTCGGAAGTCTTTTTTTCCCTTCAGAGCTTGACGCAAGCTATCCATAGTTTCGTGAGTTATTTGTACCATTATTCCATCTATGAAGAAACACGGTCATTTTATTAAACATAAAAACCAAGTTATAGATTTTTTAACAATTAAAACTGCATTCCTATTGTTGAGATCTACCAGCTGATGGACTACAGGGTTTGGCAGAACTGTCACTATGAGGCAGAAGATCCAATCTAACATCATTATGATTAATGCACCAGCAGATGATATTCTGCCATCATAATAAATATGGTAGCAGCTGAATATGCCACTAGCAAAGATATATCAGCAAAACATGTCATAGTCTAATGCTTTTAATACATAGTTAATAGCATCTCTATAACTTGTGTCATTACTAACAATAATAGGGCTTTCTATGGTTTAATAAGTTGACAGCAAATTATACTTGAGTTCAGTAGGCTTACTTCTCACACAGATAGACCAGTATCACTTCTTCTAAGTGCCTTATGTAAAGTATCATAAAAGTAGACACAAAATGTCAAAGAAAACTAGATTTCTGGGAAATTGATTATGGAGTATTTTAACAAATGGGAGGATATAATACAGAAGTAAATAAAAACATAGCAATTGTGTATATATTTCTCATTCTTAAACAAATAGGCCCTTATTCATATCAATATTATCAGTACATAAACTCTTGCCAGAGCATGGTTTAGCAGTCCCTGGATGCAAGGGACAAAATCCATGCATCATTTTACCCAAGCATAAAATCCCATTCCCATTTTATTTATCTATAATGTTATTTTATGCATACATAAAATCCCGTTCTGATTTCACACATGTGCAAAAATAAGTAAAGCATGTAATACATGCATATGTAAAACCCCATTTGCCATTTTAATTATGCGCCATTAAGTCACTGTCGGCTATTAGTGACCATATAGATCATCTCCAGGATGATCTGTCCCCAGCCTGGCCCTTCTTGTCTTCTAACAGTGCACCCATTGCCACTGTAATTAAGTCCATCCACCTGGATGTTGGTCATCCTCTTCTCTTTCCTTCCGTCTTTCTCAGCATTATAGGCTTGGCTACAGAGCTGGGTCTTCGCATAATGTGTTCAAAATATGATCATTTAAGCTTGACCATTTATGGCTCAAGTAAGAATTCTGGATACATTTTTTCTGTGTTCCATTTGCTCATTTTCTTGGCTATCCATGATATTCTCAAGAATATTCTTCAACACTCACTTCTTTATTTTTTCTTTTCTTTCTTTTCTATTTCCTTCTTTTTCACTTTCTTATTACTTTTCCCTATTCTTTTTCTCTTCAATTAAAATGTTATATTGTTTTTGTTTTGTTGAAAACTTCTTTAAAATTATTTTTTTTAAAGAATCTTCTCCAACATTAAAATTCAAAAGTGTACATATTCTTTCTATCCTGTTTCTTTCAAACCCAACTCTTGCTACCATAAAGTGTTTCAGGGAGAACCACTGTTTGCACAATTCTGATCTTTGTAGGTATAGACATGTCATAGCTTATGAATATCTTTTCCATTTTCATTGCTACCCTATCAAGTGCTACTCTGAGGCATTTTTCTTGACTGCTGATTCCTTTTACTGTTGATAGTCAATCCCAAAAAGCAGAATCTATCCACTACTTCAATACCTTCACTGTTAATTCTAAGGCTGGTTGCTGTTCTTGTTGTCATTAGTTTGTCTTCTTTAATCTTAGCCCCACTTTTTTAATGAGATCTTTGACTTTCATTACTAGAGTTTGCAGATCATTTTCAGCATAGTGCAGGTTATTCCTCCAATTTTAAAACTACACTCATCTTCTTGCAATCCAGCCTCACGCAATATATATTCAGCATATAAACTGAATAAATAAGGAGAGAGTATACAGCCTTCTCTCACTCCTTTGCTCACCTGGAGCCAGTCTGTTTTGCTGCATTTTGTCCAGCACTTGTCATTTTACACATGCACAAAAATTCAATTCTGGAAGATACTTCCTCTCCCC